CCCCCCACAAAAGTGACTTTCCCCCGGCAGCAGACAGGGAATAGAGTCTGATTAGTCAGATGTCAACCGGTGCGAGGCGGCAGAACGTGCCTCCGTTCGGGCCGCAAATGGCATCAGGATAGAACTGGGAACACCTCTTCACGCCAGAGAAGACACAGACTTCCCTCCCATCCGTGAAGAATAGCAAAACTGCCTTGTATATTTTGGCAAGTTCCTATTAGGTGTTCTCAGAGATGCCACTATCTCGAGCCACAGTTACTTTGCCAGGAGGCATGACAACATGCTTTAAATGTATGGGTGCGAGAAAATGACAAGGCAACCGGCTTATCAAATGAGACACATTCAACTCCTCCAACGGGTTGCTACCATGGGGGAATGTGTGTGTGTGTGTGTGTGTGTGTGTGTGTGTGTGTGTGTGTGTGTGTGTGTGTGTGTGTGTGTGTGTGTGTGTGTGTGTGTGTGTGTGTGTGTGCTGCATGGCCAAAACATCATGACAACATTTTGGCATTCACTTAATTCTGTCAATTAACGTGTGTTTCCTTTGATTAAGGAAATGAAAGGACAGATAAAGGATGCGATGGAGAGAGGAAAGGGGGTGGAAAACGACGGGGAAAAAAAGAGTTACAAGCTGTGTACATTTCTATTCCAATAGCTTTAAGGGGTACATTAAGCTTTATCACAAAATACAGCCCCCCTGAAACAATCTGTATGCAAATAAAGCCTTACATATGGTTTGAGCTGTTTGTAGCTCTGCCGGCAAGATTTTTTACGTAGTCAGTGAGTTTTGCGGTTTGCAGATGTTCTTTAATCTGTAATGGATGCTGGCATTGGAGTGATCCACTCCGGAGCATGTCTTTAAAACTGTTTATTTGATAAGTCTTAATGTTCTTGCACTTCCACAAATTGACTACTGAGCTGTTTAATTCAATCAAAACTCAGCAAATTAACAAATGTAATGCCTCTATGGATTCAAATGCTAATTGTTTGTGCCATACTTTCAGAGCGATTAGAAGCGCCCGTTTACAAAGTGCTATAGTGTTGAGCAGAGGATTGTGTGTAGCAGGTCAGTGATTCCTTTGACAAAGGCAACTTATGAAGTCGAGGAAGGGGATATTGTACGTGTCTCCCTGCAGTTCCAAGTTTTAAAATATTGCGTGCCAATGCATGTCTAATAGTATGCTGATTTTCAAAAATAGGGCATTACAAGCAGAGTCAGGGGTCTACTTACGGACTTCTGTGGCAGTCACTGTGATGTTGTGCCACATGTCCGTCTCCCGGTCCAGCGGTTTGGCCAGTGTGATCTTCCCGTCGTCCACGTTGATGTTGAACTGCCTCTCCAGGTCCGTGTGCCGATCGATGAAGTACCTGCAATTACAATCAATCATCAGCAAGCCCCCACTGCAGCATCTTTGGCAATCCTTTGTGTATTGTGGCTAACAGGGTCCTGTCCAGCAGGAGAAACTTGTACATAAAGGGAAATTAAAATGATTAAGAGGTCTGATTACTATAATTTCCTACCAACAGCAGCCAAGGTCTGAACCTCATATTGTCTAAATTGCATTCCATCCTGTCCATCAAATGCAATCAGCCATGTACATTTTCATATCATTTAAACAACATGTATTTAAAAATATCTATAGGGTCCTTTTACCTACAGTAGAGACACATTGAGCATACAGTTGATGACAGTTGTACCTTTACAATAAATACACTGAGTCCCAGCACAATTAATGGTAGTTCTACATTAATAGTAAAATAATTTAAAATGTCTATTTATTTGTTGCATTTATTTTATACTTCTTATCCTATAGATTAACAAGCCTGTGATAGCCCTTCCAGTAGAATGAATCTTCGGATTAATGTAGTATTTGCCATTCTGTCGTGCTACTGGGGTAGCCTGGAACAGTACCTGGTCTTAATACAGTCATAGCGTAAAAAGCTGATAAGTCATGCCAAACGATTGTGTAGTGTTACTTTAGTTGGAACAATGGACTATATACAAGAAGTGGTCATAGTCAACATGACATCACACATTGATTTCTGGACTACAGTAAAACATACTTGAGTTTTACATTTTGACACCAGAGGGGTCGTGCTAAGTACAACCCAATGCTAAACAAGACAATTACAGGCAACCAAAATATTAGAAGTCACTTTACTGAAATGAAAACACACTGTGAAAGAGTTAAAGATTTAGGGCTTGATCACACCAAAGCGACCTGTCAATCACAATGTTGCCACGCCCTAATGCACACCCTGCTTTGTTCCACTAAATACAACAATCAATTATAACATGAGGACTTAAAAAAACAGCTTTTTAAAAAAAAATTAACGGAGGTTATAAATCAAGTGAGAATTAAGGTAATTTTCTTTTAGACTTCTATTAAATCGGACTACTTTTTGCAAGCGGTGGAGTTGCCCCCTCTTCAATAAAAGAGAGAAAGGTCAGGGTATGTATCTTGTTGCTCCATGCTCCAACTCAATCTACTTTCTCCCATACCTCTAATCCTTCTTGCAAACACTTTACGCACGGTAGAGCAACTGATTTGATGGCTTCAGTTGATCAAACTATTACCGTATTACATAAATAGGTTTCAGTTCAGATCACGCCCTGCCATATGGACCGCATAGTGATTTACATAAAAAGACCTAAACCTGAGCAACAGAGGGCATTAAAGCCTAATAAGGTCAGAGAAGCCCTCCCCCCCAATCGTTGCTACACCTCCCTCATGCACAGAAAAAAGACCATTAGTACGTGTCATGTCAGAATAAAAGATGGGGTGTTGTTAACCCTGTTTGGGATCTGTCAACACGCAATGGCCCCCAAAGGCTTTGCATTAATGAGTTAGGACAGCATTGTGTCACACATGAGATTTAACAACACAGTGCGGGGGAGGGGGGTAATTGATGTAATGGAGATGACCGGCTTGTTTTGTGTGACCTTGTCTGATCTAAATGATTTTGTTTGTTTTTTAAACCACTAGCCATTTGTAGGTCATGAAGCAACACATTAAGTAATCATTTAAAAAGGAGTAGACTTTTAAATAAGTCAAACACAGTCAAAGAATATATTTGTAAGAAATTCCTTTTCTTGATTCAGTTTCTCTGTGACCCTGCCTCTGACACACTGACTTTTTGAAGCTTCTATTAAGGATACAGTGGCAGTGATATACAACTCCTCAGGAAAAAAAAAATACTCTAGCAGTTGGTAAGAAAAATTGGAATGCACATGAAAGAGAATTTGCGGGTGCTACTGGAAGCTGTGAAATCGTTCCTTCATGTAGCGGCGCGTAGAGCCAGATTCTTTGGACGAGCCCACACGAAACTGAGTTTAAAAAAGGATCCGTCATTATGGGTCATCTTTGGCTTCATTTGCCATTATGCGTAACTGTCACAAACATCCTACCCACCTAAAACACAAGGCCACGTGTTTCCGTTCCTCCAGGACAAACTGTCTCCCTACCTTTCTCCTTTTTCTTCTATCTTCCCTCACAATCTCGTCCCCCTCTTACCCACTCGACAGTCACAAAGTATTTTATTTTCTATCCAGCTGGGTCTCTAGCTCTCCCTAATCCAATCCCCCTATCCAATTCTCCGCGGCCCCCCTGTCCCCACACAGCCGTCCCTCTACACCAGGCGTCCCGCTGACCCTTCCCTCCTAACCCTGGGTCTTGCAGCAGAGCCGCTCATCCCTATCAGTGCAGACCTGTTGGCAGGAACCCTCCAGTGTTGAAGAAGGGATACAGAGAGATGGAAAAGAGAAAAGCACAGAAAGCCACAATAACAACAATTTATATGAAGGAGGGCGCTGCTTATACAAGAACGGGAGGAAATGAAATAAATAAAACCGCTGGCCCAGATTCCAATTGTTGGGGAGATGTACCGAGCCGTGACATTTCCATTTTTGAGATGAAATGGTGTAAAATCCTCTAGACGCTGGGCTGGGAGAGGTCCATAAGGACCCACTCCCAGCCCACAAACCCTCCCTCACCCACCCCCCCATCTCTCCCTCTCTTTTCTCTCCTGCCCTGCAGACGCAAAGCACTTTCAAGACAGGCAGACAGCAGCAAACCACCTGGGAGCAGCCTCTCTCCCGCAGACTGAGTGGATCCCAGTCAAACTCTGACAGCCTCACGTGGAAGCGAGGAGACAGACCCTGAAATGTTCTGCCACCTGTCACTCAAACTGACAACGTGATGTGAAAAGAATTAAAAGCAAATAAAAAAATGATATCCAGCGTGGTACGTGCGCGGTTTCCCTGAGTGTGATGTGGTAATGTGTTTGAGTGTGACAGTGTGTGTCGCCTCGTTTCAGCTTTGCTTTACTTTACACATGCCTTTAAACGCCATTGGGATGACCTCAGTCTAACGGTTTAACCTTACAGGGAGGCAGTTTGTAAAAAATATTGGAAACCACCAAAAAATATCGTTTTTTAAAGATGATTTTTTTTTGGCCAGTTTATCCTTTTTTAGAAATACAAATTTGAAAGTGGGAGATAGAAGGGATGACCTTAGACGGGATTAGAACCTGCGTCCTCCGCAGCACAATTTATTCAACCTCAATATAGAAACATAACAAGCTATTCAAATGCATCAGTGTGACAGAAGCTGTTCACTGCATACAAATAGATAAGCTGTAATCAGTGACATCATCATTCTTTTTTTCCTAACTCATTTAAAGTTCCTTGGCTCATTGATGTGGCCTCTCTGCTCTGTTTTTCTGGCAGATCATCTGTCAATCAAACTGTGGCCCGGACGTCTTCTCTGTTTGAGTTTCTGTGGGTGGCAATCTTTTGTCTCTTTAGTCGCGGTGGCTATCATTGCTCATGCTACCCAGTGATTTTTCGCTTTCCATCACACAATGCGTGTCATCGGATTTTCTCCACTAATATTTACCAATGTATAGGCCTAATGAACCCAACAACATGCTCACTATAGCAATCCACAACATCTGCATCATAGAGCCTTGAGCATTGATCACACTGCTGCATAATGGGTTGTGTTTCACAATGAGGTGCAAACTGACACTGATTGAATCTGACAGGAAAACACTGAAAAAACAAGAAATGATCTGTGACCTCTAGCTTTAGGGGTTCATGTCAATAGGAGACATTTCTAATTTACTGAAAATAGCCAAGATTGGGATTGCTAGTGCATTTAGAATCAAGGACATGATTTCTCTCAAATCCCTTGAAGTGAGGTTGTAACTTTTATAAGCCAGGAAATTGACAGTAATTTCACAAAAACTCAATTAATTTTTTATTAAAAGTTTGCAAGAGTCAGTTTACACAAGCTCTAAGTCAAGCTGCTTACAATCCTGATTGTAATTAAGTGATTAATATTGTGTTTAACATCTTATAATTTATTTGTTTCATTTATATTATATCATAATTTGTGTATACTGAGAAAGTACTTCCAAATTGTAATGATGTACTTACTGTATGACATATTACTATGTATATCATTATCTGAAAAGGATAAATGTGCGCCTTCGCATGTGAGCACAGTGTGATTTTGTCACCTTGAGAGTATAATCTGTGTGAGTGTCTAACGAGTTGCTGGATTTGATAAAAAAGGAACAACTCCTTCCCTTTTTTTCTGCAGGGACACAAATGCTTCAGTGACATTCTTGCTTGTTATAAGGTCAGCAACTCTATTGGGAGTACCACAGATTTAGGGTTAGGGTCAGACTAACCCTAACTCTGAACCCACATTTTTGGCCGTGCCCTGAATGCTGACCGGAAATAGAAAAAGAATATAGAGCAAATGCTTTTTCCCTTTTGTATCTGCAGAATAAAAAATGCCTCTGTGACATTTTTGCTTGTTTTCATGTCAGAAACTCCAATGGGAGTTCCACACATGTAGGGTTAGGGTAAGCCTAACCCCAACTCCTTACCCAGTTTTTGGCCTTCGCCGGAATGCTGACTGCTTCTGTATTGCCAACGCATTTTATTCAGGTGTTACTAGAATGTAGTTTTCCTGGAGGGTCCATAGTAAATCATAAATAACAAAACCACAAGTCCTGCGGAAAAGGCCTTCTCGACATTACATTTCAAAACCACCCAGTTTTCATGAGTTCTTGTATTACCATATACATCATGTTAGCTGTCAGCTGTGCTCAGGCAACATAAGGACGCCTGCAGTAAGAAACAAGCTTTACAGAATTACATTACATTTCCCTCACCAAGACGAGAATAGACGAAAACAAAGATGTCAAATAGAATTGTTTAAAATCCAAGGCTAGTTTTGCCAATGCTTGTCACAGTATCAATAGTTTGGACTGAAATACAGTCACAGCGATTCTATAGGCAGTTTGTGTCAGCCACAGTGACTGCCAAATGTCACATTGCCTTTTATCTGTGATCAGTCAGGTAGAAAACGGCAGAGCACAGGCTCCAGAGAGAAGCAATACTGGGAGCATTTCATGGAGTGCACCTGAAATGTTGTTGGTTGGCTGCATTAAGTACAGCTAAGGGCTTGTTTGTCTCCTGAGTGCAGAGGACATGGCAGCCCACCAGAGCACCCGCCCCCGAGTGGTTTAGACTCAGACCGGTTTAGTCTGGTCCGGCTGGAGGGGGGGATTGAGACAGAGAGTGATTCTAATCAGAAGCTCGTTCAGATGGGGGTCAGGAGAAGCTGCTGCCACTCCTCAACTATAGATCAACCTTCACTAACCTCAGCTTTATTTTTGGGATGCTCTTTCCCTTATATATCCTTAAGAGACAAAGATTCAAAATGAAAGATGAGTAAAAGAGACAAGAGGAAGGACGATAATTCTATGCTAATGAGCGTAATTTATGGGTAAATCGAGTGTAAAGATTAACAAGCGACATGTCATGACATGACATAACTGCCTCATTCCCTAGTTGATCAAATGTATTTTAAATTTTAAAAAATACTCTTTAAAAAAAAAAGAAGACCCCTCTCCATGTAAGTTTAATTCATTATTTTGTGTTACTTCACCCAAACAAACTGTTTTAAGAGCTACAATGATTTGTGGGTCTTTAATTAGTCAATCAGAAAAAAAACTGCATTACCACACATCAAACATCAAATTCCAAGATTTTTCAAGGGGTTTCTAGGCTAAATACTCTTAAACTTTAGAAGCAAAATAAATGATAGCAAACTGAAAAATCGAGATGAATGAACGTTGCTCATTCTGGCGAAAAGAGGCGCTTGAAACAAGGATGAAACAGTCGGAAACACATGCAGAAAGTCTAGAACAAAAGGGAAAACCCCCAAATCATTAAAAGGGCCCCTATAAGTATCATCTCAATCAAAGACTAATACAATACAAAGGTGACTGCTTATCTAGTGTGTGGATTTACCTGTTTTATATCATTCTCTATTGAATTTATTTGAGCTTTGAAGGGTTGGTTTAGATAAAGCAGAACAGTTGGTGGAGCCACCTTTCATATTTTTCATATTTTTTAAAGACAGAATGATCAATTGATTAATAATGGATAATCATGATAATGGCAATAATTAGTGTGAATGCTGTGCAACAGCATTTGCCGTCAAATAACTTCAGCCTACTTTCAGCTACAGAAAACATTAAAATCTCAAAAATATTCAGTCTTTTCAGCACATGATGGAAACTTTCAACTTTTTCCAAATATTCTGCTATTTTAACTCTTTTTTTAACATTTAACTCAACTCTTACACTTTTTGAGATATTTAACTTCGTTCAACATGTTCAACATGTCTCCATGAAGGCTCATTGTAAATTCAGCCTGATCCTTCCTCAGAGCAGCAGCTGCACACCTTTAATAAATATGCCAAAAATGCCACATTATTGACCCAAAAGTACACAAATAGCAGACTCAGATGCTCGTCAGGGTCCTGAGATGCTCCACGCATTGACATTTCAAATGTTCAAATGTAAGAGGTTTATCTCTCATTCAGATCAATGGAAAGGCTCTCCTCTCACAGATCACTGCACATCACCATGGAAACCTTTGATCTCTGCACACAGGTGTTTGATAACGTCGTCACCATGGACACCTTTGATCTCTGCACACAGGTGTTTTGATTAGGTGCTCAGCACAGAAACAAACACTGACAAACAGACTGGAGTTTAAAGACTGTCTCAGCCTATTATTTTCTGTCTGATGGAGACTTCATACTGACTTCATCATGTTCCACATATTTTACACATTATTGGTGACGTATGGTTTTAGTTCAAAAAATTACAGTTCAAATATTCTGCTGCGTTTCAAAGTGTTTTTACTTTCTTTTCTCTTCTTAGTACACATTAATTCACTATTACTTACATTTAATATCCAACCCCTTCAGCCTACTTTCTGCTACAGATACCATTAAACTATTAAATTATTATATATATGTCAGGACATTGAGGCTATACATTTTGTTGTCTATACCTCTTTTAAATATTAAGCTTCTTCACTATGTTACCTACTCTTCCAGTTTAACATTTTACTTTCAAGTTTTCAACAAAGTCATTGCAATGCATTTGAGCTGTAACAATTTTGATTCAAATCACTTCACTTTTCTGCATTTCGCCGCTAAGTTCAGCAACACACTTACTTGGATTTTGTCGCTAAAAGCAGCTACAGAGACCATTCAACTAATAAAATATTTAGCTTTTTCTGCATTTTCAGCTAAATTCAGCAACAAATGTACACAGTTTACAGCATTCACACACATTTTCAGCAGGAAATTAATTTTCTAGTTGTTAATAGCAGCCCTGCATGCACTGCAAAAAAAGTATGTTTCAAAGGCATTATTCAGTGAGGATTCTTTATTATAAAGAACATCCTTCTCATCATGTAAGAGGCGTTACTAAGGCTACAGCCTTCTGTTAGCCAGCATATCTGGAAGGATTAAAATCGTCCACACTGTAATCATTTTATCAGCTCAAGGCTCAGACTCACAGGCTGATACAAATGTGAAGTAAGATCAAATGGTGCCTGGTAAGGGGTGATGCATCATATTAAGCTCTCTGTAACAATAGTTTGTTTCATCTCACCCCCTACAAAGAAAACACTTGACATCTGTGATAGACCAAGCTCATCTTGAACATTTGTTCGAATAAAAAATGTACGTTTTGGACTTCAAAGAAAATCACATGTTGAGGCAAAGCCATTTGTTGTGACAAAATGCAAACTGGCACCAAAATGTCTGGTTGTGTGTGTGTAATCTTGGAGCAGTTGCTTCTTCACGCTGATCAGTGTCTTTGCAGGAGTTGGCAGATGATTAATGCAGCATTCCATTAGCCACTTACAACTTCCTCTCATTTCTCTTGGAGAATGGAAAGTTTGATAATGAGCTGTGTTAAAACAGTACTTGAGTACAATTTCAAAAGGCTTTATTTTCACTGCGAGAACATTTTTGGGTGCCTGACAGTCGCACAAAGCCCCGGAGCAACAATCCATTGTCCTGGCTTTTCCAGAAAAAAGAAAAAAACTGATGATTAAAAGCTAAATAGACACTGTGAGTGTAAGTGAATGACCTCAGGGCAAAATAAAAACAAATAAAGAGAGAAATCCAAATAGGCAAGAGACGAAGCTGGTACCTTATGACCTATTTCACACTGCATCATCCTCAAAACATTTAACATTAAAGTGCCAAGACAGGATGTTTATATCTGGACAGTGTCAAAGCAGCACATGTGTGAGTAGATCATGTCAGCAGGGGGGTGTCATCTGCATACACACTCATTCATTATTTAGGCCTTTTTTCTTCCAATGATGGTGTCCCGTACAAGGCAAGAAACAAGAAAGAACACATGACTGGCTATTAATACTGCTCATAAATCAGAAGAAAATTATTTTTATGAGACTGTTTAATGTAGTAATGTACTGGACTTGTATAGACTTAAGATAAAATAAGACACATTTGCAATAACATGTCTCTTTTCTGTGCATGTGTTTGTTAATTAATCGATCAACTAGTTAATCATTGAAATCATTTTTCAATTAAATATTAAAAAACTTCTCAGGTTATTTCTTCCCCCGTGGGAGGATTTATTGATTTTATATTTTTATAAAATAATTTGGACTATTGGTTGGAATTAGGGGTGTCACAAATACCAATATAGAAAATAACCATGTTGTTTAAAAATGTATACAATGTTAATTATACACAAATGTTAATATTGTGTGAATAATCTAGCACTTGTTCAATCATTTCAGACATAAAAACATGCACAATAAACAAAGTTCAAGATTAAGTTCAAGATGAATCTGACGTATAGCTGTTTTTTGTTTGTCTATAGATAATTAAGTTGGCCACATTATTTACCATGTAACATCTAATATTGTGACCTGCACATAATCACAAAGGAATTGTTGAGTATAAAAACTAGTTTGGACTTATGTTATAAAATAACACTACCATAAGACAATGCTGTGTTCGATTCCTTCCCCATTCTTAGTTACCTTGCCTAAACAAAAGACAAAAATAATACTAATGCAAATAAAACTTAATTGATTATTTTATGTACCGTAATTTTCGGACTATAAGCCGCGCCTTTTTCCCTATTTTTCGACGCTGCGGCTTATATAACGGTGCGGCTAATCTATGGATTTTTACAGCTAACGGCCAACACCTTTAACTCTATGGGCTCTATGGCCGGTCCGCGGACCCCCACCTTTAAGCGGCGGGTTCCAGCANGGATGAGCATCGGTGTAGTTTGGGGTCGTGTACTTGGACTAACTCCGAAACTGCTCTTTGAAAAAAAGAGGGATGAGACTGCTAGACTCCGAAAAGCCAGAAAGAGTACTTGACATTGTCGATCGGATTTGCGCAGTGCAAGACTTCCATCTAGAACAAACTTTGACACCCACTTACCCTATAGTAAGTACAATGTGTTTTTTCATTCTCGAGGTAGTAATTTACGAGTGTGACGCACAATGAGGGGATCCTACCTCAGTATCGTCGGACCACGAGTTCGTGGACGCCGGGTCGTTTTACAGATCGCCGCGCGCCACCGTAAATTCCACGCCGCTGTCCAAGGGCGTACATACAGATAAAACAGACGGTCGTGTCTTTGGCTATGATAGTAATCTTCCAAGTTACAGAAGCCCGGGGCGCGGACATAACATATTGATTAACCACCGAACCTGTAGGTAGGAGATCGCCCCAGGCCCGCCTCGGGGGGCCCTTCTAAACACAAAAATGTAATAATTATATTTGTACGAAGTTAGGACCACGGAAACTCGTCGTGTTACCTGATCTCCTGACTAGATTGAGGCATTTTGTGGGTATACTTTTTGCAAAATGTAAAATTAGTAGTTTATTAACTGTGTAATTGGTCAGTTTGATGTATCGTTTATTGTCATTCAGATTGAATAAACATAAAACACAACAGTAATGTAGTGAAAGTAGTCCGGTTAAAAGAATAAAATTATATCCACAGTTGTTCTCGTACGTGGCTATTACTTACACGGTTACAGAGGTGAAGCAGGGCGCAGGATGTCTGACTGGGGGAATCCTTTATAGGACCCAAGACCGGTGGGGGAAGTACGTCTAGATCTAGGGAGCAAAGCGCAGCCCGAGGCTAGTCGTACCAGCCCACACAAAGGGGTATTACTGGCGCAGCTGACGTCGTAATAGCGGCGAATGTTTCATCCGAATCAGATCGACTCATTAAGTTAAGACTGGAACGATCCGAAAAAGTTGCATATTAGAATTAATTTACATTGTTGTAAAAGTTACACCGAAACTTTCCGAATTCCGCATGCTAACTCACTCCTTAATTCACTGGAAGACAATCCACTAAACACAGGTTTATTTCAATTACAGACGAAGTGAACGACGAACAGGACCGAACAGTCCGCTCAAAAGAAGCGAGACCTGTTACGTGTCGAAGCGCATAGCCACGAGCTTCAAGCGTCGCTCGCGTCCCCCGGAATTAAGAAAATTATTTTTTAAAAAAAATAAAAAGGACGAACCCCGAAAACGCGGACGGTCCCAAATTTATGATCCCTCATGGAGTCCGTATCAAAGCACGTAGGTGGCGTATACATGCTTCCGCGGTGCCTAGGCGGCGGCGACCTTGTATATCCCCTTGTGACTGACAAGGTTCGTGACAAGTTCAACAGTTCAATCGGTCGCCTCTGATATACACCAACATGCACATGAAGTATTACCGTTTAGGACTCCTACATGCCTCCATATATGTAGTAACATGTAGGAGAAGAATATATAACGCAGACCGAGGCAGCTTACTCACGAACACAGTAACTCTGACAGTACGGTTCACTAAACATCGGACATGAGCAGAACGTCCTGAGCTGAAATTAGCTAACTTGGCGGGAGAGACTCGTATACAACCTTAGTAGTAGGACACGTAAAAGGCTTCGCTCGCTCACTGTCTCAGTTATCATACTACGTGATCTAGCAGGTGCAATTCGACCGTAAATTGTCTACGTCGACTCTGTTAGGGTCCTTCCTGCACGATTTGCGCTCGCATACACTTTCACACATTTTATGATACTATGGAGTACATCGCACGATAAGAGAGCAGGTAAATGGATTCGGTCCTTCCACAGACTTAAGATCCATTCCGTATTGTAGAACAAATTTATATCAAATCAGCTTGGACCGTGACATAAACGGGGACCTTAGGATAAAGTACTCAGAATAAAGTATAGAAATAATAAATAATATAGATTAAGTGAGTACTAAATGTTTTTGTAATATGTGATTCGTAGATGAGAATATGTATGATAGGCATATGTGTGATTGAGTGTGGTCTTTAGGATTCAAATAAGCCCAGCTAGCTGACGTTTTGCAACAGATTCGTGATAATAGTGACATAAATTAGCTCTCATCAACTGGTAGCTAGCTACAGTATGTGTGTGTAGCATGAAGGGGCTACAGATTTATTTTCGTTTTGTAACCCTGTCGTGTAAAATGATAAATACATTAGCTAAACCCAAACTTAGCTTTCATCAAAGATTCTTAATGAGAGGTTGAAAACCGTCTCTGCTTTCATGGAAACCCCAGAAACTGGTTGTGACGGCTGCTGTTCTCTACTGAATGGTTAGTATAATCCATGTAGGGTCCAATTATTTGTGTTGGCCAGTGTTAGGTAAGTGCTGGTTTTGTACCCTACATCTATGTTAAGCTGTTCAACGTTCTACCAACACTATTTTATGTACCGTAATTTTCGGACTATAAGCCGCGCCTTTTTTCCCATTTTTCGACGCTGCGGCTTATATAACGGTGCGGCTAATCTATGGATTTTTACAGCTAACGGCCAACACCTTTAACTCTATGGGCTCTATGGCCGGTCCGCGGACCCCCACCTTTAAGCGGCGGGTTCCAGCAGGAAAAGCTGGAGGCCGGAAAAGAGTGAGACAGGTAGCGCGCAAAAGTAAAAGTGGAACCGAGAGTGGTATGCCGCTGCTGCGGCTTATATTCAGGTGCGCCTTATAGTCCGAAAATTACAGTAGTCAATTTGCAGATTTTGAAAATGTATTAATAATTTACTTTCATCATTTGCTGAACTGGTCTCTGTATCTCACTCTAACATACAAATAACTGCTCAACCAAAATAGCATCACCATGACAGCAAAAATAAGGACGGAGATTAAAACAGATGTCATTAACCATAAAAAAAAACGTTTAACCAAGGAAGGACATCACACAACCTTTGGGCTTAGTTCGTCCTGGCAATCTCATCACTAAACATGAGGATGCCACCTGAAAAGTGTGGGGGAGAAAAAAGTAGAATGCAGAGAACCTGCTCTATAGCTGCAGCCAATCTTTGAAACCCAGACTGCTCGCTGCTCACTGGCAATTACACACAACCTGTTGAGTGTTGTCCCTGGAATGCGGTCAGCAAGTCGCTAGAGAATTAATGAAATGCCAAGATGGAGGGAGAGAAATTGCCTGTATAACCTATCCTCAAGGTGCCCTTGTGGTATTTCCAAGAATAAGTCATACAAGAGGAGAATATAGCAGTGCTGGTCAAAGATTGAATGTGAAAGTTGTGCTGCCTTCAACTCATAATCAACTTCTTTTTTTTACATCGGTATAAATGAGAGGGTCGCTGCCGAAGACACTGCAACATTCTCCAAAGGTCACCGGCATGAAGAGATTTAATTGCATGCCTTGGTGTCAAGCCTTTTATTAAAACAACTCATTATAGCCTGAAAGGAATCATTATTAACCTATATTCTACATCGCTTCTTGAAGTTACACTTAAGAACTTTTTATTTCTCAATTGTATCACTGCTGTCAGTCAATAGCAAATGGGAAACAAAGAAAGGTTAAACTTACAGTAAACTGTACTCCCTGTAGGTTTGTATGCATGTAAATGGTCTGCAGAGTCACAAACCCTCAAAGTACACCCTGTAGCGAGTAAAACTCTAACACAGAAAATACCTCCCCAAAACGCCTCGTTGGAGATTTCTCATTTTCTTCCTGGGTATCGCTACGTAGGGATACCCAGTGTGGCCGCACCCTCTGCCAGCCTTTCACGAAACAAAGCTTCCCAAACCTTTCAACGATTCATGCCGGATATGTACAGCGTAGGGCACTGAAGAACGATGCTGTTCCTACTTTGTTTGGACCAGCGGGAGATTCGGGTACACAACCTGTAAGTATTCATTGTTGTTTGTGTATTTATGATGTTTAAAACAAACAAGGTATCTACCACAACTGTTTAAATGGGTAAATGTTTTTCGGACTGCTAAGTTGGGATGGCGGAGAAATGCTCTCCGCAGACCCATGCTCACAGCGTTATAAACCTTTTTCTTACTCAATATCAAGCCACACTTATNTGCAATATTTCAGTTGATTTGTAATGAATCCAGAATGTATGACATTTTTGTTTTTTTAATTGTATTACAGAAAATAAAGAACTTTATCACAATATTCTAATTTTCTGAGACAGTCCTGTATAAACAGGACATACATTTTATATAAAAAAGTTCCTCTGTGGATACGTCGAGTATAAAGTAAAAATGAAACTCTATAATGTTACTCAAACTCCACTCCAGAGTATTAAAACAAACTAATTTTGAGAAAATGGCCTTTAAAGAAAAGCATTTCAAAAGTCCATATACTGTGAAGGATACTTTAGTTGAAAATAAATGATATCACAAGCAAACTCAATATTAACATAAACACCTACATATGTATTTTGGATGGTTCTTTCCACCGGTCTGAACAGCATTTGAGCCCAAATGAATGCATAAAAACTATTTTGGCCTGTGGTGTCTGGCTGTGTATTTCGAAGATAGTCAAGAAGGTTTGGAAAAGCATGGGGAGGTCTTTTTATTGGACTTATACCCATTTATTATATATACATGTTTTTATTTTAAAGAGCTGCCATGTGTACCTTTTTTTTCACTGACAGTTGAAATAACTGTGAAGTTAGCAGCTGCTAAAAAAAATCATGTGTTTTGGATGCAGTATTCAAATTATATCTGGCGTTATTTTTCAAATTTGTATCCATTTAAATATTAACATTAAAAAGTACATCATTGAAAATTATTGTTGTGACTTAAGTTTGTTAATATAATGGGTTGTATCAATTGAACATTGACATATTATTTAGTGTTGGGTTAGAAGTGTTATTTTTCTTTTGTATTTTCAAGGTTTCATTGGCGCATTTTGTACAACTGTGGAGGACTTTGCTTTTCACGAAGATTTCCAACCCATCGCAACCATTTTCATACTTTTCCTTTGTTCTATATGATAAAATCCGGATAGAAAAATGACACAATTGGCAGTGAACATATCAAGCATGCCGGATACAGATGATACTTTCTTTTGTTGGGAAATCAACCCCACATAGGGTTGAATAGTCTCATCTTGATTGGCACAGCGATGTAGAGATGATTGCCTATAGAGTCATAGTTCCTAACTCTCTCTCTCTGCCCCACAGGTACCCCAGTTACCCGGGTAACAGCTACAGATGCCGACGATCCAGTGTACGGGAACAGCGCTAAACTGGTGTACAGCATACTGGAGGGACAACCATATTTCTCTGTGGACCCCAACACGGGTAAGTGCGGTTCTGTGCTGGTTGGTGTTTTAGTATTATAACATGAATCTCTTTTCTATGGAGCAAATGTGCACAAACTGAGGCCATCTCGGAGCATGTTTAACAAGTTGGTTTCAAGAGTCACCTCTTCAGGACAGCCATGTCAAGTTGATACAAAAAAAATGAAAGACACAAAAGCAGGACACCTCTTTGGGGCCCTTTGTCAGCCAAACAAATATTCATTGTTTGGCTGACAAAGCCCGCTGAAGATCTCTCGAGATAGAAACGTTGCTTCATTCAATTTAATGGGAGCTATTAATACAGCGTGCAAATCCTTTGTCTGTTTCTAACCAACGGAGAGCATAATGTATTACAAAATGTAATGAAGGGACGCCACGCCCATAATGGAACAAAAAGGAAAGAAATGGGCTTAACAGCGAGACAGTGATTACATCTAAGGATTATTTCAGAAGTGGTTTTCTTCTAGACGGGGCCAGGCACATCGGGTCAGAACCTTAAACATTGTCCTTTTTCATTACCTGCTCGACTTAGATAAATTAGCTTACAAGGTCAGCTCAGGTCAAGTGGTGGGCTACCGGGACTATAAGTACGTCAAAATCACTGTCTGGAATAATTTGTTCATTGAAGGGTTTAACTTATTGTTAGATGTATGAATGTAAGCTCCTATCTCAGCTGTGTGGCCCATTTTAGGCTTTCAGGACCCAACTGTGAATCAGACCCCCAACCAAACATGCAATTAACACTTTACAACGCAAGACCCATGGAATTAAAAAAAATATATAACTATTAAATGTCATTTTCACACCTCAAAGCAATTTTTTCCAAGCTTTTAATGATCACCGGCATGTTGACTACCACTTAGCAACTACTCTTCCTGGGGTCAAAACAAGTAAATGTTACATTAAAGTGAATAACATTATATCGAATAAAAAACATCAAAAAACAAAAGGAAAGAAAAATAAAACAAACAGTTTAAAGTGAGTGCACAAATAACAGTAGTTCCACTACACGGAAATAATTTAATATATTATAAAAATAAATTACCAAGAAAGTTTAGCATTGATTATAATATAGTCATATAATATGTTCCAAGACATTTGTCTGGAGCTGCCTGGTGTTTTGTGTGATCATGTAGACTTTTTAAGAAAATACAATTTCACTTTAAATGAATGTGTTATGGCAAATATTAGCTATACTATACTTTATTCCTCTGAATTTAACATTATGTTGACCTAAATTAGTTTCTGAAAAAGGAAGGGAAAAACAACTCCTTAATGAAGCCTACAATTGAAGCTAAAGCCATTCCTACTACAGTATATGAATATTGATGCTACAGTTCAATCAAGAGTGTAGGCAAATAAATATATCTCAAATAGCAGAGATGCTAATAACCAATGAACAACCTAAGGTTACTGTATGTCTATTCTGATGATGTTAGCTGTGTTTTTACAGTTCAGAGTGAGTTGTTTGTGTCTGTATTGTATCTTTTGTCTCAGAGTTAAAAGGTGGAAGAAAAACCTTGCACTCATAAATTGTCCTTTGTGCGGCAGCAGCAGTTGCTCCCGTTAAGCCACTGTGTATTTTCCATTAGAAGTGGCTTTGTGGTTTTGTTTCGGCGGTGAGGGGCAGACCTTGAAAGTCAAGCCTCTTCACGTCAAAAACAATATTAAATCAAAAGCACAAATGACGTAATCTGTGTGCACAAATTATTAAATCAAGTGCAGAAAGGATTTTGTTTTTTTTCTCAATGAGAACTCGCAGGCTCAATGGCAGGAAGGAATTACCAAATGAATGAGAAAAAAAAGAGACATTGGTTGTTATGCAGATGATGAGGAATAACATGAACCTCCAAAACACATTTAACGACAGAATATAAATATTTGATGATGATAATCAGTGGGAATTTTTTTCTAACTTCCTGTTCCAGTCAAAAAGAATGTCACCAAATATTATGAGTTTAAATGTTTGTCATGCACAAGAGGAGGAAGTATTTTAGTATGTTTTGTCTTGGATCAGCTGTAAAATGCATCATGATGCATTGACCCTTCAGAACTTATGTGTTTCTTAGCACCAAACCTACAAACTATGATGATCTTATTGAAGGGGCACTTTTTTTCCTTTGGGGGATTTCCCTTTCCTGTAGCGTGTTATATAGCTTTGTGTGCATGTGCATGGTCTGCAAAGTCTACAATCCCAAAGTTCCCCCCAGAGGGAGTTTCTCTCCCACACACTCCCCCCTGCCTGAAACGCCTCCATTGGACTCCTTTGTTTACTTTCGTGACATAGCGACATCACTATGTAACACTTGCACTTGTATTGGCTAATGCTCCAACACATTAAGACTAAGGGGCGGGTCATCTCTAAGCAGTTGACCAATCACAACAGAGCCGGCCAGCTAACCAATCGGAGCAGACTGGGCTCTGGTTTCAGACAGAGGGTGAAAAGAGGTGCTGCAGCACAGGCAGTATGAGAACAATAAAGAGCTTTTTGAACATTAAAGCAGACACAAAATACAAATATGAACCTGAATGTGAGCAGAATGTGTCCTCTTATAAAATAATGCATTAGGGCATATACAACTATCCAGCAGTTTATAAAGGAGCAAAACATTAAACATCTACAACAGTAAAAAATGGATTGATGCAGCATGAATATTCACCCTAAAATATCGACACTTAACAGCACAATGACAGTAATACTGGTTACATTTTTCTGATATAACTTGATTCGTTAATTTACTAAAGTAAAGTTTTAAATGCAGGACTTTTACTGTTATTGGAATATTTCCATATGGCGTTACATAAAGTTAAGGACCTGAAAACCTTTGGATCCAACCAACACCTTATATAATTCAATGTGATGGTAATTATATTTTAATACTTTACTTTTAAATCAGTATATAAGCCTTTAAATGCTCTCCGTATGGATTCTGTACAAAAAAGACTGCACTGAGGGAGATGGTACCTTTAATATACATGTGTGCATTAGCCTAATATTTCATTCATTTTCTGAAGGCAGAGTAAAGGGATTTTAAAAAAGCCCTTAGCGATAGACTAAATGACAACGTTGTTAACCGCAGTGCACACGTCTCCCTCACCAATTCTCTGCGAGCCCTTCAGAGACAACAAATGAACTCTGAAAGGGAGCTGACAATGCTGATTATTGTTTAAAAAGTTGTGTAACATCAACAGGACTGCAGGTAACTCGGCCCATCTGTTTTTCGTGATGTTTGTAGATTACGGCTGTGCGAGGCTGCTGTTAACTCAGGCTTCCGGGCGCGCTCCATTTCCCTCTACAGATGCACACTTATGTTCAAAGCATCAACAGTAAGCTGGGGCAACAAATGTGTATAAGTGTGGGCACTAAAACTGAAATAAGAACGGGTATAGCTTGCATTAAAACATGAAATAATGCAGGAAAACAGATTGTTTATGTGAAGAAAATAAATAAAAACCCACACTGCTTATGTGCTGAGAGAAAGACCCATATGTGAATCCCAATAATACTCAAAAGATTCAAAGGTAACATACGATATACTTAAAATAAAAGTAAAAGAAAACAAATAGTGAAACATTTAGTTGCAAGAAAAAGACAAACATATAATATAGAATAAGATAAACAGAATTTTAATTTAATACGTGTTCAGGAGAATAAACAGTGTGTACTATAATAATATATACATATGTAGATATATGGGGTGTAAACAGATGTATAAAGGACGAACACATTATGAACATACAGTATGTAGATGTTGACACTTGGCAGTTCTCCAAGGTCTTATTGTCTGTTTATATTAATAAATGTAATAAGGAAACATTTATATCTCGCAGATCTCTCAGACACACCGACTGATATCACTAATGGAAAGTATTATATGCACACAATATTATTATATTATGCGATCTGGATAGTACAATCACCCAGGCCTGCTGAATGAGAGGGGAACACGTGTAGCCTTATAGAGGAAGTAGAGGCTACGGAGACACAAACATGTGTTGGAGCAATGTAAAGCTTTTTAATTTGTAATGACAATGTCGTACTGGTATATTTTACAGTACGGAAACGATGATTTATACGATGATGATATGATTTAAAAAATATATATATTTATAGGAACTATTAATCTACTTTTGTGATCAAATATTTATGTTATCATGTGTTGATAATGGGCACCTTTTTATGAAAAGCTTCGGCACAAACTCCCCTGTTTCTGGCACTAACAAGAGCTGGTGTATCTTTTCTTAATGATGATTTAGAAGCAGTATCTCTTGCACAAAAAAACGATAGAAATAACTCAATAAAATACCAACATCTTAATAGACATAGGTATACATAATTCTAGGCAAGGCAAGTTTATTTATACAGCACCTTTCAGCACACGGCAATTCAAAGTGCTTTGCTAATTAAAATAAAATACATTTAAGAATAAATACAGCAGAAACACATGATAAAATGGCATTTAATAACAGGCATTAAATAGCAAGGATAATAAAATAAACACAACAGGTATAGAATACATGAATAAAAGCCATACTGCAGTGTGGATATAAACAGCTCACTCAAATGCAGCGACAAAAAGATACGTTTTTAGTCTGGATTTAAAAGTAGCAAGAGTTGCAGCGGACCTTTTTAATTAATTAATTCTAAGTAAAAAGATCAAAAAACATATATAACCGTTAAGTTGTTAGCATCTGTATGGCAAAATAAATGGTCTTTTATTTTGGGCAGTAAAGCATTAAGTATTTGCACGGTACAATGCATGTTCACCAAACACGGCTAAGCTAAGGCAGACTTCCTGTTGTAAGGTTTGCTTACTCCCTGTTGGATAGTTTAATACCTTCCTGTTGGATGCCCTAAAAACGTCCACTCCCCACGAGGTGATTTGAATCGGCACATATTTTTGCGGACCCCCCAAATTAGTTTAATAACATTTGTTATTCTGTTAACTTAACATCATCTCCGTGCCCGCTTTTAGAAAATCTGTCGGACCCCCTTTGCCTCACCTCAGCTGGCACTTTTGAGACAATTGTATGGTTTTCTATCATTTGTGTCTTGGTTTAGCTTTGTCATCTGTGACATGCTGTATGGTTCATCAACAGCTTGCATGAAATTCATTATCAAAACTACTAAATTATAAGATTCACGTGGGCATCAGTGAGTTGCCTGTTTCCATTAGCTGATTGGCCGTCCTCAATGCTAAATGGGCCAGTGCTCACATGCTGCTCTGTAACATCATTGCATTCAAAGTAATAATAATAATTACTTCTTCCTTTCACAAGGCAGACTCTTCAGCAGCGTCATGATGCATAAAGTTATCTCCAAACAGACTCCAGATTGGATCTCTAATTGCTTTTTCAGCTGACTTTTTAACATGTGTCTGTAAGCAATATGATTAAATAATGGTGAAATTACATTAATAAGAAATGAGATGGAAATCGACTGCTCACAATTTGGAAAACAGCACACAATAAACAAGATTGGAGAAAGGGAGGCTCGAAATGTATGCACATAATTAGAAGCGACGATCAGCTCGACACAGAAATTCGGGCTCGTCTTCACTTCTACATCGGCGTCGTATTCTTACTGCATCGTGGCTTTAGAAAGCGAGCTGAACGGACAATTTAAGGATTAGCATTCATGCTCTGTGTGATTGCGCAGCACATGCAGATGGCTCATTCGAGGTAGCCAGATGTTTTGATGAATGTTAATGAAAAATAAAAGGTAAGGGGGAAAACAACCATTAGGATGCGTTTGACACTAACAACGTCACATTGGAAATGAAAAGCATTCAATAAATAAATAAACATCACGCCCCAATTCATCACTTGGTTAATGGTCGGTGAAAAGAGAAAAGGAAAAAAAAAAGTTGAGGCAAATATCTATGGAAATGAGTGTTTGTCTATCCTCCCTTTTCAGTGATTAGGAATTAATTTGAATAATTAACGATGATCAACAGAGATGAGAGTGTTGCTCATGGCATGATGACTGAAGTGTGTGTGTGTGTGTGTGTGTGTGTGTGTGTGTGTGTGTGTGTGTGTGTGTGTGTGTGTGTGTGTGTGTGTGTGTGTGTGTGTGTGTGTGTGTACACACGTGGAAGAGGGAGTACAAGTGACTTGTTTGTGTTGCTCTTTTTATTCATGGGTTAATTTGTTTGCCTGACTCGAGAGGAGGTGGGTCTACCTTGTTGATGCCACTCAAAGCTCAAAGCTTCACTGCTTGGACCAGTAACATAATGCAGCATAAATGTTGCTTTTGCACAATAAGCATGAACCACACATAGTGGCTGTTTATCCAATGTAATAAGTTCTTAAGCCACTTATTCTGCACAATGAATTAGTTCTCATTTCATAACATTCCGATCCCTTTGTGAAGATCCAATGTACTCATTGAGAGGAAGGTCAAACCAGAAAACCAGAACAAAGGTTTATCAAAAGTATATAGTGCAGAGTTGAGGCAGGTGTTTTCCATTCAAATAACATATCGTCCAGTCCACTACCCACTTTATAATTCCAAATAGGCGATATACTATAACACTGCATTCAATAACTAAAACGAAATGTCAGAATAATATGATCAAAAACATGTTTAATTTTTAAAGATATCTCATACATTTTACACAAGGGAGACAGGTAATCCTTAACAGCAGTTGTTGTTGTTGAAATAATAATATAGTGTCCAGGTATGTGTTTTCCAATCAAATTGCACCGCGAGCAGTCCATTACCGACCTGATGATTCAAGATATGCTGTAACACTGCTTTAATTAAATAACCAGAATACAGTTACACAATAACAAATTGCTTTCAATCCACTTGAAAACATCCAAAATCTTATGTAATAAAGTAGTTAAAGTATTTATGGACTGAAAGCTACAGTATGTTACGGCATATCACCTTCTTGTAAATACACCTAACATAATCCAATAAAAACGATAGATACAAAACTCTACCAAAATAGTGGAATTTATTCAAATGAAGTTCAAATATAATGTATGTGCTTAAGTGGCTATTAAAGCCAATTTGATTATTTCAAATGATCATTTGAATGTTTAAAATGGCAACAATTAATTGTTGCAACAATAACATGTTTACTCTGTTGTGCACTGGGCCTGTCATGTGAACATGTGAAAAGATACATTACATACTGTTTGAGGTTTTAGCTTGAAGGTGCTTAAAGATAATTATCTTTTTTCCATGTTTTATTTTCATCTTTAAGAGCGCTTTAGGGTCCTCTGGATTTATTGTGAGACTCAGCACATGGATCATGCTGTCTATTCAATTACATTTGATACAAGTATTATTATTGTAGCAGTACATTATATTGAATGTATACTAAACTGTCCTATAGTAATATAGTAGTAATAGTAGTAGTATATCATATATATATATTTGATCTTTTGCTGGATTTACAATATTATGCAACTTGTCCCATTATCTCTATACTGTATGTATGTATGTATGTACGTATGTATGTATGTATGTATGTATGCATGTGCTGTATTTATGTATGTATGTATGTACGTATGTATGTATGTACTGTATGTATGTATGTATGTATGTATGTATGTATGTATGTATGTATGTATGTATGTATGTATGTATGTATGTATGTATGTATGTATGTATGTATGTATGTATGTATGTATGTATGTATGTATGTATGTATGTATGTATGTATGTATGTATGTATGTATGTATGTATCTACTGTATGTATCTACTGTATGTATGTATGTATGTATGTATGTATGTATGTATGTATGTATGTATGTATGTATGTATGTATGTATGTATGTATGAAGGTTCTTGTGTTTCAAATACTTGTAATTTTATCTGGATTTGTTTTTATTGGAGTCTAATGAAAGTATTTCTGACAGGAAGTAAGGCGTCTTTTCAGTAACATACAGTACGTAAGAAACATAACTAACAAGAGAAAAATGTTTGTCTTTCTCAGTAAATGACTATGGATATAAAATATGTCTGATAATGCAGTCAATAACACATTTAAAAAGGAAATTAGAGTACTAGCCCAGTTAGCGGAAAATTGAAATGGTTGTGAAAATAATACTCAAAAGTATAACACTCGAATAACTTCAGAATAAAAGCCAAAAAAGTGTGTAAAAGGAAAAAAGGAAAGTAAGCCAGTTGGATAGAAGCAATGACCAAGTAAAGCCAAGTTAAGGAAATAATGGGGAAGGCTTAAAGAAACGGATGAAACAATGTAAACAATGAATTTACTCCATTGCAATCTTGCTGGTGATTTTATGTAAGTATTTTGTAAAGAAATGTCCAACTCTTGTCACTCACATTCTTTAGTTGTTCAGATCATCAGTGCCGTGTGTGACCTCCAAAAGCAAAGCTGACCCTGAAAGTGTGCTACATCTTGAAGGAAAATACTTCAGAGGAATTGAAAATGCAGGCACAGTCAACATCCTAACCCCTCCCACGTTATTCATCATAGCAAAACATATTCTCATTGTCTGATGCAGCTCAGGACCAAGGCAGGGTGTCATGCCAAAGCCTCGCTTTTATGAGGGGTTTTATATTCATTTGATGATCCTGCGGGCCTCTGTTTCCTGAGTGGATTATCCGTATATGCCGATGCTGAGCCCTTTTTATATTATGCGCCGTGGCAGAGTCAATAAGGTCCATTCTGCATACAATATTCAAGATTATACAAGACAGACAGCATAATTCACACTCAATCAGAATACAAATGACTGCAGACGGCGGAACAACACACTGGAAAAACCAACACAGCTGATTCTCAGGGCTGTAGTCATGGCCACCTTGCCATGCTCCCAAAGACCTGGAGTAAACCTGTAGGGATTCCTTTCTTTAACCTTTTGCTTGTGTGGAGCCCTTGTTGTGTGAATTCATGGCGGAAAATAATGCAACCTACAAACCGAGAGTAAGTTGGGTGTGAAGGTTACAGAATACATTCCTCGTTTTTCTCCTGCATGCTCACGTGAGCATCGTTAAAACGATGCAGCAGAGTATATCTGTCATATTTATAATTGCACTAATGTGTTATGAACTGTTTTCACCTTCAGCGACCATAAAAATTGCTCTCCATGCGATGGATCGGGAGATGAGAGAGGAGTACCTTGTGGTCATACAGGCTAAGGACATGGGAGGTCACATGGGGGGCTTGTCGGGAACCACGACAGTCACCGTCACGCTAACGGACGTCAACGACAATCCGCCAAAGTTCTCTAAAAGTAAGTAGCTTAGTGGCCTTAAATATCCCAAATTGAATTAGGAGGAAAAACCAATAACCACCAGTGTAAACTAGTGTTTCTCTGATTGGTTATAATTGGGGAAAATTAATGTTATTTTGTAAGTTTCCTCAAACACGCACCTCAAGTTCGAACTCTTCTTAAGTCTAATGAGGATTTAGTGCTGTAATATGCTTCCCTGACTTTCTCAAATTGGATCAACAATTCTCCAATCCAATGTCTATTCCTCCACAGGTTTGTACGAGTTTGTGATCCCTGAAGACCTACCGATAGGCAACATGGGCGGCAAGGTGAAAGCAAACGATAGAGACATCGGTGATAATGCCAAGTCAACGTATAACATTATCGAGGGAGATGAACAAGGCATGTTCGAGATAGTCACCGACGGGCAGACACAAGAAGGGATTCTTCGGCTGAAAAAGGTAAGAACTTGAAACAGCTGTTACATGGCTCTGCTCATGCTTTCTCTGTCATTGTAAAGGCCACTACACACCAACATGAGACCAAAGAACGCGTACCGAAGGCGTCCCGACTTTTATGTCCACTACGTCGGCTGCGTCGGCTACGCAGCCCTCCTACGAACACACCGCAAAGACTTCAGTTGACGAGTGGCAATAACTGTCCTTACCAGCAGGCAGCGGTAGCGTGTATTCGTCATTCAAAAGATGCAACAGCCAATCAGAGTGATTTCTTTGGCCGATTCAACATGAATTCAACATGTTGAATCGGCCACGCGGGAGGTGTGAAAATGTGCCGTAAAGCAACGACGGTGCGGGACACACCAACCTGAGTAGGGCGCCGCGAATGCCCGACTGCCTCTGACGGCCTCTGACTACCAAAATCGGGTAGGTGTGCCAGGGCCTTTAGAGACCGTCAAGGTCCAGGAATGTGTAATACAGCAGGTGTTAGCATTTGCACTTGAGTTTTCCTTAAGCCCCGCCTTTGATCCGCTGTTCGGTTTCAAGCCCAAGTATTTCATTTCAGTCCTTTTGAAGTGATTTATATTTCAATAAATATCAATTGATGAATGATTCAATAAAGATTTCACGGTCCTACATTTCCAAAATAATAGTCCTTGCATCAAGCTGCTACAGCTTAATTCTTAAATATTAAAACGCCAGGGCCTGCACGAGTGTAGCATTTTTCTTTTTTTCCCTATTCCATTAATAAAACACTATTCCTTTCACATTTTGTTTGCTTGAGTTAAAGTATGAGCATTCTAGATGGACTTTCTGTTTACGTATAGCAAGTTTAGGGAACTCTTTTTTCAGAGAACATTTCCTTCTGGCATTTCAGTCTTGCCTATTTAGATGTATAATTCTTAGCTCATGTAGCATTCTAAGCTCATTATAACATATTGTATATTGATTCGATCATTGTTCAAACTTTAGTTGAATCCAGTTGAGCTGACACTCACAATGTCATCACCATAGACACAGATGGTCTTTACCTAATGCTTCCAGATGTTCTTTGTGATGCTAGCACATACAACATGTTAAAGCTTCACACATATACCACATGCCCCATAGCAACATCAGCAAAGCAGTTGCCAGTTAATTGCCTTGCTAAATGAAACATTAGTAATAGTTGTTAAGACAAGAAAACACAATGCTCATTAGATTTTCCTGAGGAAAGAGAGTGAGCAACACTCCAGTCAAAAAACCTAATTCAATCAGGAGAGATGTGATGTATGAAATACATGTTTATTACCGGACACATAATATGAAGGAATAATGATTGACAGTTTACAACAAGTAAATGAAATGATGTTTGGCGATTAGGCCCCGGTTAGCAGGATGATCATTCAGGAGGGAAAAACCGCTCCGATGAACCCCCGGGGTCTAGAAACTGGTGGTGGTGATAAGTAGTTCGGTCCGGTCTGAAGGGAGAAGGTTTTAGCTTGGCCCTGTATTAGGAGACAGGAGGCGAAGGGGTGGAGGAGGGTTGCGCGTTGACACCTGAAATGACAACTGAGGGAGAGGGAAGAGCAGATTTAAAGGGGTTAGCGGGTGCAATGATTGGCTAGCCGGGGAGTAACGCCCCTGATTACTTAATGGGAGAGGAGAGAGTATTGAAGTGACGTGTAACACCAGAGGATATTGGTCTTCCTGGTTGAACTTGCGCTAAGCTACATATCTCTTACCTTGAGTCAAACGCATTAGTGCCGGTAAAGTGTTCACAAGAATAGCATTGTATTCATCATTTAATTTGGAAGAAGAACCAAGACACATACTTTGCTGCTGATTGAATAATTATCCAAGGATCTCACACAATTGCACAATGTAATATGTTTCTAGATATGCAATATGAATATTTCCTCAAGCATAAAAGCCTTTTGAGCCTGTATATCGTTGCTTGCCTGTAGACATTTGAAGCACCCAATCCCGTATTTGTTCTCAATACGGAACTGTGAGGAATTGACATAAAAAAAACGCAATGCTTTTATATTACACTGTGACCCGCAAGCATGTTTAGGCGAAGCTGTATCTCAAGGACATCTGTGGAGAATCAAACCAAGGTTCTCAAATCAAAGACACCAAAGCTGTTTATACATGTATGCATTCCATATTCTACTTCTATATTCTGCTTGCTGGAGGATGTTTGCATATATTGAATCATACGTGATTGATGGATGGGCGTTCTTCAGTCTTGAGTCATGGTTGGTTCGGCGTCAGGAGAGCAGAGCTATACATCACTCAAAAGCAGAATGCCATGTGTTGTGATGTAAAATGACATTACCCCAAGGACATGTGGTATGGCTTTGTCAAACTGTGAACTGTGTGGGAGATGGAATGTACAAGAGCTAAAGCAATCCGCTGGTACTTCAATCCACAGCCACTAAAGAAAACAGCAGTGCCGGAAAACAAATGCGACACAAAGTTATAAAATGTCCAACTGTTGACATAGCAAACGTCACATGTTTTAGACTTTTATTCAAGCTCCACTTCCATATCCTACAGAGAGGGCCTCGATTTCCCAAAGCCTGCTCAGCTTTCTCTCTGCAGCCTCAAGTTGGTTGCCTTAATCGCTAAAGCAAGATAGATGATATTGTGTTGGGGAAAGTAGTATTTGCACACTTATCCTCAAACAAGGGTGACAGAAGAAGGTATTCATTGTAACTCTTTCCCCAACACGCCCTGTTGCTGCAAACTTCTGTACGAGTCTTTGAACTCCCATCTAATGTAAAAAATTCAATTATTACACATCCTTTGCGGCAAGGTTAAAAACATATTGATCTCACTGAGGTTGGAGAGGCACAAACCAGGCGAGATATTCTTTTCTGTTTGGGTTTTTAAGCTTTTTATCTGCCAGCCCCCAGGCCTGTCGAGGGATGTTCGTGGGATGCTGAGCTTTCACTCCTGCAGCCAACACTGAACTTTGAAGTCTCTAAATGGCCTGTGTGTACATTCTGATTTGATGCTTAAGAGACACCAAAAGATGACACAGCAGTGGCGTGGGACATGGTCTTGATGGGTTTTCCAACACAGGATAAACTAGACGGTCGCTTTGTTGATTTGTGTAAGTCTGCTGTGCCACATGCCGAAATGTCTTCATAAGCTTATTTTTTCCAGGAACATATAATAATTTAAACTGGCTATGCAACCTTGACTCAAAAAATGCTTAGTACATGGCTCTACTGTTTTTATTTTGCTCTCATGAATCTCAAATAGTATCTGTTCAACAGTATGCATACTAACAAATATCAAAGCGGTTCTTGCTGGCTTACTTATTCTAAGCACTGTATGTGCGTTTATTGAATTCATCATTTGAGCTGGTTAGAATATGACTTGTGTTTGTTTAAAAGGGGCTGCCTTTCTTTGATTTTGTAATTGTTATTGAAAGTAATGAATCAGACTTACAGTAACTCGGCGAATCAGAGAAGCCACTGTGTTCTCCTTAAACCACCATGTAATTGAGTACGCCAGCAACAGTGAGATCCCCTTTCCCCTCCTTAGGGCATTGGAAACAAATATAATGAGTTGTTTGTAGTTGCTGTCAAGTGGAAAATAATTCAATATTTTGATAAGGGGAGAGCCAATTTCCCTGGAATTTAATGTGGAGTAATTTGCTAAATTATTTGTTACTTGTTGCTAAAAGAAAAAAGGCAGCTCACAACTAAATCTATTTCATTAATAGCTGCATTTATTAAATTTTGTTTTTATCTCCCCCACAGGCCAATTATATTGTCTATTATATACTATCATTGACTGCAAGACAAATCGCAAAGAAAAATTCTAAAATGAAAATCGCCTAGAATTAAAATACGCCTTACCTCGTCTGTTTCAGGCCACCTTTTGGCTTTTATCATGGCTTGAAAGTTGACATTTAAAGAAAAGTTTGGTCTCATTTTGAGCCAGACCATCTGCAAGTAAATTGCATACCTGATAAAGTATGCAAATACCTTCACCACCACTTCAATTGTGAAGGTGCCGGGAGAAAGAATTTAGTGAGACTTCTTTGTTGGAGACAGAACTCTGGCAGAGAACTGTACTCTACTTAGTAACCTTTTGTAGTATTAACAACTTATAAAATACGTTGGCTAATGTGAATGATGTCCCTAATAGTGACCAAACCATGGATTTATCATTCAAGTCGGAATTTCCCTTAGCTATTGAGCATTTTAGAGTCTGTAAGCTCATTGTTTTGTGACCCACAGCCTCTGCTAGAGAGATTAAAAGTGAATTTAGCATTAACATTCAACAAAGTGGCCAAAACAGGACTCCAAATGTATACTAATGCCGTCCAGTGTCCGCTGTATGAATTATCAAGTATTTGACATTCGCCAGTATTTCAGCGTTTAACTGCCCTGATTGAAAAAAATATTTCCACTTTAATACACAAGTGCTATTTATTACCTCTTTTGACATTATTTTTTGACTTCCTCTTTTATTTTTGTAAAGGTATTCTTTCCTCGTGTCATGGGTAGTTTTCCTTTCTCTCTTGGTGTTTTCCCACCTTTGTGATTATTTGCCCCGCCCTGATTCTTTCCATCTGTGTGTAATCACCGTGCAGCCCTCGTGTGCTTCCAAGCTCTCAAGTGTTCTTTTAGTTATTTGTCTGTTTATCTGCTCTGCCAAATTCTGTCCTTCCCTGCCTGGTTTCGGATCCAGAGTATTCTCCTGCCCCGTATTCGACTTGCTTGCCTGTTTGATGGATCTCCTGGTTTTAACCCTGCCTGTACCTGACTGATCAAACTGAACTTCCTGAACATTTGGCGTGTATCTGAGACATGATTTTGAGTCTGCCTTTACGAGTGAACCTTCCACTGACCTAATACAACTTTCATTTTGAGGACTTGAATGTTGTGCAATTTTCAGTAACCCAGGCCAATCAGTAAACCATGAAATAGCTGGAGTTACAATATTCTGTAGTAACCAATTTAAAAGATACATACTGTAAAAACCAAGCAGTTAAACCAATGTGGGTACCAGTACATGACTTTCAAATAATACATTGCTATTAAAAAGAGATAATTTCCCCTCTCTCCATTTCCATACAATAATGTTGACTATCCAGCCATCGTCTTATACAAGCTCTTACTCTCCACTACCCTCAGAATCTAAGTGTAATCCATTGGCTTGGGGTCAAGCCACACTATGTACTTTCTCAGCACAGATGGCAGGATCAGAGGGAGAAAACGAAGGAACGGAGGGGGGGGGGGTGTGAGGAGAAGAAGACAAAGTTAATAATGAAAGTGTTCCAAATAGCTTCCTCGAACATGGAGGAGCGGGGATTGGAGAGGCTTCGGGGGCTTGGGCTGTCTACTAGTGCCCTGATGGCAGGAGTGTGGAAGTCAAAGCCTTGGGTCGCCTCCCCCGTCCCCCCGGCTGCTTCTGCCGTCTCACAGCTGGACCCCCAGACACCCCACGTCCCCCCGTGCACCCAGGAGCTCTCAGCACCGGCCCCGTCTGACCTCAGGGACAGATCCTCTTGCTCTCTCCCTCTAACTGAATACATTACCCGTGGTGTTCATCTCCCTCCTCTCAGTCCTTCTCTCTCCCCTTGCCAGCTCCTATCCCCTCAAGCGGCAAGGCCCAGTTTTGATTTCCCTATAAATCGCGGTTATAGAGCGTGGAAGTGACTTGATCCCATTATTCTCGTCGTACGAGAGCGACCAGAGGTGATTCCGAATGAAATTGTGACATTCTGGGGTGTCCTCGGAGATGCCACAAGTCTAAAATTGTGACGCTCTGCTTCCTTTTAAATATTAATGACGAGCCATCTGTAAAAGAAAATACTGCATAGAAGTAGCGATTAAACAGATATGTCAGTCACACAATGACACGTCCTGTGCAAACTGTTTTTATTTCTCTTTGGAAAATTATACCTTTTTGAGATGATCTCATTCATTGTACTGTATGTGAGCTGCTTGTGGTAGCAGTGTGAGAGCTCTAATAATCAGCTGTCACTGAGAGCATTAGTAAGATTTGTGTTCTTTCATGCAAGTAAAGGCTGGGACCTTTCAGATTAAAGCCCCCTGTGTATTTAATGTTTATGTGGTAACAACTTATTTTCAATAATTGATATGGCATTATAATTTTTGTAGAAAAATTAGAAAATGTGTTTGGATGCTCTGTGCAGTCAGCTCGTGTTTGCGGAAAAGCCTGTGTCCTTTCTTCCGTGTTTCTCAATACTGCCACTTGGGGGCGCCACACTTAGAATTGTTTTAATCACAGAGGGTTTAAGTAATTAAGGGTTAACATTAGCATAAAGTCAGTAAAGGTCTTAGCAGCAGAAAGCCTATAAACATATCAGTCAAGCTCCCACATTTCTCACAAAGAAACTTGATAGCAGTAAAAAAAACATGTTAGTTGTAAAATTGGTGTGTATAATATTTCATATGTTGCATCTGTGCAGCTTTCAAACCAATATTGAGAAGTATATGTACATATTCTCAATGTGGTGGAATAGAAGTGTAAAGTAGCATGACATGAACCTATTCATAATTGTACAACACCCGAGTAAATTTACAACTTTAGTGTACACAGGAAGCAGCATACTCACATACTCACTGCTCCTCTCTCTTTGGTCCTCCCTACAGGTGATAGATTTTGAGAGCAAGAGAGCCTACACCCTTAAAGTTGAGGCCACCAACATCCGCTCGGAGCCCAGCAACGGTGTGCCCTTCAAGGACACAGCTACTGTTAAGATTGTGGTGGAGGATTCCGATGAACCTCCCGTTTTCCTGAAAGCAGTCTACTTGCTAGAAGTGAATGAGAATGCCCCCATCAACACAGTCATAGGCAGCGTCACCGCCAGGGATCCGGACTCTTCTGCCAGCACTGTCAGGTAAGAGAGTGGATGCAATTTCACCAACATTGATTGTTTCCTGGACTTTTATCATTGGTAATCACTCTCATTGATATGGGTTGAAAGGGGCCTTACCCATAACCATGCCAGTTTGCCAGCAAGCCCCCATCAACACAGCTATAGGGACTGTCACTGCCAGGGATCCAGACTCTGCTATGGTAAGAGAGTGGATGCCAGTTTTCCCAACATTTAATTGGTTAATGGGTTTTTATCAGCCTCATCATTTTGGGTTGGAGAATGCCTTACCCCTAAATAGGGGTGTAACGGTTCACAGAATTCACAGTTCGGTATGTACCTCGGTTTGGGGGTCACGGTTCGGTACGGGCTCGGTACAACAAGAAAAAGCAAATGCTTAATTCCAGGTTTGTTTTTTATTTATTTTGAACAGTAGTCGAAGTTTCAGGAACATTTTGAATAATTTACTTTATTACACTGTTAAAAACAAACCACAAACAGTACCACACACACTCATATGGCCGTATAATCTATAATGGCTGATGTCAAACAAAAAGGTTCAATAAGCTGTAAAACTAAAAAGAATGTCTTGAAAATATTACAAAATAAATAATAAGATAGTGTTTAAATCACTTTCAATCACAATCACTAAAAACCGGGGTCCTCTACTATTGCATAAGGGCGCAGCATAGCCGTTGAAAAACATATGCCAAAAGTTTCGGTTATTTGTTTTGGTCTCACTTTCATGTCTATTGGCTTCTTAAAAACAGCGGGGATAAGCTGTTGAACTGCTGTTGTCTTTTCCCGGGCTCCGGTGATTGCCAAATCTGGGTGATGCCTTCTGATATGATTTAGCATGTTTGGCTTGTTTTACTATTAGCATACCGCACCGCTCTCGAACAACGCCGGTGTTACCGAATAAAATGTGGGACGAACAACTGGTGATATTCTATAACGGTAGGCAGATGTATCAGGGGCGTGGCCTTTGTCGAATAACCAGGAAATACACATTTCGATCGCTTCTTCTGTCGTTTACATTCATCTTTTGGTATATTTGGCTGGATAGGAACACTTTAATGCACATTCAGTACCAGTGTGTGAGGTTGTGGTTGTGATGCCGATATCCGGACGCGTACAGCGTGAGGTGACTGGGGATGTGTGTTCAAAACAAAACATTGCAAGCTTGAATAAATTTAAACCATTTATTTTTGCCAGACTTATTACTGAATATCATTCTTAATGTGACACCAAGTCCATCTGAGACCTTTGTATACCTTCAGACGGCCCCTAAGTGAAGCACACGTTGTTTACTCACAATTTGAAAGCAGCGTGGAGAAGTCTTCAGCTTTGGAGAGCTCCGCCCAGGATAAATTGTGATACGAATTATGTGGCTTGTTCTTGTTGTTGTCAGTCTTATATTTGTATCATATATCGTTATTAATATGATGTCGAGTTGATTTGAGACCCGTTTACACTTTCATACAGTCTGTTAGTGAAACATACAGTCTGTCTGAGTTGTTTACACCCATCTCCAACGCAGCGTGGAGAGCTGTGGTTAACTGTGATCCGCTCAGATTAAACTGTGATACGACTTCTGTGGCTATCAACCAGCAATCATGTTAAGACTACACACATATTTATCCCTTATCAACATGGTATTCTGCACTTTGCCGCACTTATCCAGATAAAATGTGACTGTTAACTTTCGTTATGCATAGGTACTGAGACACCGAATGACGAATATACTCACATAGGCTACGAGAACTAGAAACACACATATTCATACTTTTTCACACTGTTGTTAACATGTTTCTTAATTTAACGTTTATGCGTTTATCTATGTGGTCTTTGTTCTCATGTGTTTTATCTATTTCTGTGTAACTTGGTAATATTAATATGATCTTTCGCGACCGGGTCTACCCACGTGGCGCCAAAAGGACGACTTGCTTGAAACTCGATTGGTTGATGACTCACCGAGGTCACACCGTTGGTAGAAAAGTCCGAAGGATAACTTGCGGTGTGGTAGGAACAGTACCTTTTGAAGTGTGTAGTTTGGCGACGGTTTTAGCGGTACGGGTTTCTTGTATTCCTTGATGGTCTGGTTGGTGCGGGAGGTGGAGTCACTATACTTTAGTGATCTTCTTAAGACGAAGCTAAAGGAATAGTCATGTTGTGTTCTGTTTGCCTTAGGTATGTTAAACGGTTATTTGTCCCACGCCGTCCTTCTACGACCCGGTGGCACCAAGTGTAGTAGGGTGATTTGTAAATCTATTTCGTTGTGGATACGTTCTCGGAGGAAGAGATCTAAGGTAGTCGTAAGTTGTGTCTATGTTCGTCTTGTAGAACCACAGTTTTGACCGGTTTTACCTTCATTTAGGTATGGAGATGACAATTACCATACGACGAAAGGGCACGTGCGCATTCATCTCTCGTTGAACGACTCAATCGTTTTGGGACAGGTAGACGGTAGTGTGCTGTTTACATCCGCCGGGGTCCCGACAACTCAAGTCCGACACGAGAAATGAGAGGATGTGACTACTAACAGCAATGTTGTGTCGGTTTAGTTCAGTAGTAATGCATGAGACTACTATTGACGTTATTATAGAGACGATTCATTGTGTCTGCTGGGGACTCGGACCTGGTTGTCCACATTTATCCACCAAACCTCACCTGGACTATTGTTACGAGAACCAGTTGTGGTTCTTTTGACTCCTTTAGTAAAAACCAGTGGTAGACTGAGGGGTATTTCAGGGGTAACAGTAGGTATGTCGTCCTTTAGTTTCGGTCCCTGGCAAAGTAATTTTATGAACCCACATTACTAACTGGATGGACAAAGTATCCTTCCTAGTGTAACTTATAGACACGTTTTCCTTTTTGTCTTCTAAATAAAAGAGGCGTCAGAATCCAGAAAACCCCTCTCGTCTCTTAAGAAGAAAACAAAATGTAGACACTGGAACAGATAAGACGTCAATGACGTTATGTAGTGAGACCGATGTATTACAAACAGTCGTCGAAATTTATAGTTAATTACGAGGTGGACAATGTTAGAAGAGTTTCTAACAACCAGTTGGGCGACAGTCATCTAAGAAGTATATGATACGGATAGTATTTTGGATCACCCTCCGACAGGTTGTTGTCATATAGAGACTGAGAGTTTGTACAAAGACTTGTCACTTATACTTGACGATGGAAGATTAGCCTCTATGTCCCAGGGTGCTGAATTTATTTCAGTCTGACTTCGGAGGAAGCACGTAGTCAGTTAGGAGTGTCATTATGTGCTCGATTTAGGGTCTAGTTTACGGTGCGACTTCCAACGAACTCGTACAAAAGAGACGTGACTAACACGACAATACAATTTACAAAACAACAAACACAAGTACATAAAACCAGACCTATGAAACAAACAACTACAACCTGTACCTGACGAACGGCTTTTCTAGGTTTTATAGTCTGAACTTAGAACTGGTCTATTTTCATTAATAGCATAGCATTATGTCAAGCATTTTGACACTGACAAAGGCAAAACGTTCTAGTCTCTACTACGAGTAAACTCTCCTTCAAATACTGTCTGAACTCAGCAATTAAAAACATAGAACCGTTATATACATTACTAGGAAGATAAGTTTTCCTCAATAAGTCGACAGGTAGCTGTACTTTATTGTTTTTTTCAAGTTACTGACCTGAGTTTGACTCAGGGTTACTCGTTTTAGTGAGCGACGCGGTTGACGTGCAATACCTCACTAGTGCCCAGTATGCTACATAAAATAGTAGTTGTCCAATAAATGAGTGTATTGTAACAATTTTCTCAGGTCTTTAATTTGGTATGATAGAAAGATATTACACTTCGCTTACATACATGTGAAATTCTGTTATATTATATTTATACTATCATCCCCGTAAACGAAACTTTATCATAATCCGGATTACTTCGAGCGCGTTCAAGTCCGTCCTTCTGTGATAGTGAAACTAACGCGCAGTACCGTATATGAGCGAGGGAAGTGATTTATTATCCCTCGCGGTGGAGGATTCGATTGGTAGTGCAGGGATTGGTAAGTGTTCGGATTAGTAGCGTTTGGGCAATTAGGGAGGTTATATCACGAGAGGGGGAAAAGTAGTCGGACAGAAGGTCCACAGTTGCGCGTTGGGAGGAGGTTGGGGAAGCGAGGACGAAGGGTTGAGTCCCGGTTCGGAGTTGGAAGAGGGAAGGTTTGGGCCTGGATTGGTGAATTAGTGGTGGTGGTCACAGATTCTGGGTCCCCCCAATTAGCCTTTGCCAAGAAGGAAGCTTACTGTAGGATGTTTTGTGGACCCCGGATTAGGCGGTGTTGTGGTAAAGGTAAGTGAACAATATTTGAAAGTAGGTAATACAAAGTAAATATATTACACTGCGCTATTACTTTTTACATGGCCAATAAGGTATGTAGTGCCAGAGAGGACTAACTTGACTGACTCGTAGTAATTCTGGTGTGGTGGCTCTAGTCTATAGGATCAAATAGTCGGACGCTCGGATGTAATGCACACTATTCACCAAGTAAAATGCATAATATTATAGTCACGTGTGTAATTCAAGTTTATACGTTTAGTCCGGTACACAAAAAGCAATACATCATCGATATTTAGTAGTTGGACAGTACCTTTCTGTTGTANTGTGTTTGCAGGTTCAGAGGCTTTAAACGGAAAATAAATATGTGTGGATCACATGTAAATAAAATCCAAATAGAGAAAAAAGTTTCAAATGTGTGTTTTTGATCCACACATATTTATTTTCCGTTTAAAGCCTCTGAACCTGCAAACACAGGCCGCTTTCTGTGCAAGGATCGCTGTGCATTCGTGTGTGAGTTTTTTGAGAATCCCCTGACGGTCAGCCGATTCGTACTTGTCATTTTTTCTATCTATA